ATCTTTCCATACTCATAACAAACCTAATCAACCTTCTGTCTCCAATGATAGTCCATCTTTCCTGAGTGAAGGGAAGCAAAACTGTTCACAGTATTAAAGGTGTGGTCTAACTAGTGCCTTGTATTGTTTTTGCAAAACTTCCCCATTTTTAACACTCCATTCCCTGGAAAATAAAGGCCAACAATTCATTTGCCTTCCCGATTACCCAATGAACTTGGATACACGCCTTTTGTAACTTATGCATGAAGACATTGAAATTCCTCTGTGCTGCAGTTTTCTGGAGTCTTTCTCCATTTAAATAATATTCAACTCCTCTATTCTTCCTGCCAAGGTGCATAAGCTCACATTTTCCCACATTATGTTCCAAAAACATGGCAAACAACATAAATTCAGGTTGCTTTTTCCTTTAGGACCCAGCCAGCTCGGTCAACAATGGTGTTACTGAGCCACTCTAGGTGAAGGTTTGCATCTCGTTTTTAAGTTTGTTGCAACCTTTTATTTTGCTACAAACTAACTTGTATCAAACACTAAAGCACTGGACAAATACTTAAATATTTTCAGTTTTAAACTTTCATTAGCCACAGATGAAAACCGGTGAATGCAATACTGGTTCCCACTGTGATCAAATTCTCCACTTCCGTAACCACTTTGTGCATTAAGATATCACGATTTCTTTATATATAAAATAAGCCAAAAGGATGTAAATGATATCATTGTTTGCCCAGTCAGACATTTTCCATTTCAGCACCTCTTTGCTTTTGGGAACAGTACAGCTAATGGTAGAATACTTGGTAAGCAAATAATTTTCTAAATCAATGTTACAGCAGTCACCCTAATGTCAAATATGTATCCCAAATTGGGAAAAAAGATAGTAAAAAGTTGAATCTACATGGGGTAAAGAAAACTTTGCATTTACAGCACATTTCATGTCCTCATGTGGTTTATACCATTTAAGTACCTCAACATTGTTTCTTCCTAGTGAAACAGGTATTGGAATGTAGGAAATGTGACAGCCCCAGAAAAAGCAATATGATAATGTTTAGAAAATCTGTATTTTTAATGGTACTGAATGAGGAACAAATATTGACCAGAACTTCCCATGAAGGACTGGCATGACAGTTTTCTTTTACATCCACTTGAAATAGTGAGCATGGCATCGATTTAATGTCTCAGTTGATAAAACCAACATTCAGATATAAATCAAAATGTCCTGTAGAGCTACTTGCTGACAAGGTAAACATAATCCTATGCTTTCCAATATAGAAAAAAAAAAGAATTGAGGTTGATTGGCTCGCCGAGCTGGTTTGTTGTTCCGCAGACATTTCATTATCCTGCTGGGTAACATCATCAGTGCAGCCTCTGATGAAGCGTCGGTGTGTTTTCCCGCCTGGTTTTTAAACTCTGGAGTCCGTTGAGCTGGATTGCCTCACTTCCGGTTTTCCTTCGTAGTGGAGTGTATATGGGGTCGAGTTCTATGTGTTTATTGATGGCTTTCTTCGTGAAGTACCACGCTTCTAGGAATTCCTGTGCCTGCCTCTGCTTAGCTTGTCCCAGGATTTTGGTGTTATCCCACCACATACACTCCACTATGAAGGAAAACGGGAAGTGAGGCAATCCAGCTCAACGGACTCCAGAGTTTAAAAACCAGGCGGGAAAACACACACTGGCGCTTCATCCGAGGCTGCACTGATGATGTTACCCAGCAGGGTAATGAAACGTCTGCGGAACAACAAACCAGCTCGGCGAGCCAATCAACCTCAACACCCACAACCCGAGCTACAAATCTACTCCAAAACGTTAGAACAAAAGAGAATAAATTCCACATTATGAATAAAAACAACACTTCTTATTCCAACAACAAAACCTCAATCAGTTCATACCATGAAAGCTAATGAAGAATTACAGAAACTGTGCTGTTTATAATAAATATAAATTAACTTTACTAAAACAGCATTAATATTTTAGATAAATGATTTTAATCTCAGGAAATTGTGAATTATGTTATCTTGTACCCAACAATGCAATTTTTCAGGGGCAGTGCAAGCCCTTTAACACCTATATAATGCTGCTTTCTGCTCTTGGACAAAGGACATTTTCTTCCTATTATTGATGCAAATTTATCTTTCTATTGTTTAGGAAATTACTTAGAAAAGTTCTCTTTACTATTAGCACTGGATGCTTCAGAGGCATTAATATTGTCTCTCATGATTTCACATTTTGAATGCATAACTATGATAACATTTCAAAAATAATGTTTTTTTCCCCTTTATATACAGTACAACTTTTCAATGCATGACCTTCAATGGTTCCTCAGAAAATATTTCAACAGTGTCTAAAGATAGAAAAAAAGTACAGTCCCTTGAGAAACTGATCCACATTGATGGTTAGGAAATAAAAATAATACAGGCTTTAAAGGGCATAGAATCAGGTAATGAAATTGCAGCACATGCTTAACATGCTTGACACAACCAAGTTTATCGAAGTTTATGATACTGGAAGAAAATGGATGAATTTGCCTTCAAAAGCCCTAAAAAGCCTGCAAAATTAAAAAAAAACAATCAATGCAGGGATGACAAATGAGAGAAATGCCATCCCCGCATGTGGGAGAGATAGAATGAGGATGGTGTGTGCACGAAGCCCAGCTTCTGGCACTGTGGCCTTAAAAGCTGTTGTGAGCCTGAGCCAGGAAGGAGGAGAGTGACATGGTGATGAAGACTAAAACGCGCAAATAAGACATGCACATTGTATTCCCTGTCTGGCATGTGCCTCAAAGCTGTGGCCTCATCATTTCCAACAGTTAAACCTGGACAATAGTGGATCATACTCTCCAAACCACTTAATTTGTTAATCTATTTCCTTATACTGATACCACATCTTTAAATGTTTTTTGCCCTAAATTTATTACTGACTTTAGTTAGGCTGTCACTAAGCGTGCATTTGCAGTAAAGTGCAAGATTGCCAGAAACCAGTTTTAATTTTTCTAATGAATTTTAAACTGAGCTGTCCACATTGCATCCTGACTGATTCAAAAGCCCTCCTACAGGCTGTTCTGCTCCACTTCACTCTGGTGTTTCTCCGCTTTGGCTACACATTAACTGTAATTAGTGTCAGAGCAACCTCATGCTGACTCTGCAATGTGAATGCAGCCTTTGTGTGGGTTAAGCACTGAACAGCAAATGGTATCTGGGTTCTAATATGATAAGACATAAGATATCAAGGCATCTAACATGGAGCAGTGAAGACAGATGTGTGGCAAGAGACTTTTATGTTTTACACTCATTAGTTTATGACAGGGAGCAGTAGCAGAGGGGTCAGTTTACTCAGGTGGCAATCCAGAGGTCTGAATGAATTACCAGGAGACAGAAATTCCCTTCTTGCAAGGGAATTTAAACTTAAATGAAACAAACTGCACTGTTGTAAAGAAAAACACCTGATGCACTAATGTTCTCTTAGGAAAGAAATCAATCTTAAACATTCAGGCTTACGTGTGAATCCAAATACACAGCAATGTAATTGACTTTTAGCAGACCTCTGAAAGTGACTAGCAAACAACTCAGTTGTACTCAAAAAAGGTAGTTTACCCCTAGCTTTTCAAGGGTAATTTGGAATGGGGAATAGCCCTTCAGATTATAGCATTGACACATGGTTACCATGCTCTTTTGATCTAATTAATCCTTGTCTTAAAATTGGAAGAGCTGCTGTGTATTGTAGTCTTTCCATTTAGATTACTAAAATGACATAAAAACTGAAGAAAAAAAATCAACACAAACACAGACGACAGTCATGTTACCACGTGAATGTATCACCTTATAGAGTTAATGGAAATGAAAAAAGTAGACCCTGAAATTCAAGAAAATCTCAAGAAAGGCCTTGAAAAGAGCTTAAACAGATGTATGCAGATAATACAGCCCAGGGTGGACAGATTGGTGCGATTTGCTGTGTTCCTTGCTGTGGTGTTGACCACCCCACAAATCTTGGGCATGTTACACCTCCAGATGTATGCTATGCCTACATAGATGTCTTCTAACCAACTTATTCAGAGGTTCAGAGACCTCGAACCTAGGTCTCCTTGCCCAGAGATAGGGACATAACTGTTGTGCCATAAGAACCCCAAAAATTAAATACTGCCAACCTCAAGTTGCCCAGCCTTGGGGGAGACCTGGGGTGGCACATTATGTAAGCAATAAAAACTGCAAATGGTCAAGCTGAAAATACATGTTAGTTGGACAATGCATCACAGATGAAATTAAGTCATTACTATGCTCTGAAGAAGGGTCACTGGACTCAAAATATTGTTTTCACTCCACAAATGCCACCAGACCTGTTGAGTCTCTCCAGCCATTTCTGTTTTTCTTTGCTTCAAATCTCCAGCATTCGCAGTTCTTTGTTTCATTTCAGTTGCAATGTTAGCAGCTACAGCGCAAGAAAGAGTTTAACTCTGAATAAATAGATACATTTCAAAAAAATGCAATTAGGATACCTGTAGTGTTATTCCACGTGCTGATTTGATTTTCAAAATTATATGAGCAGTAACTGAAGGATTGTGATAAGCATAGTGCTGTACATACACTATGTTCCAGTGGCGAGGCTAGCGACATGATAACGTCATTGATGGTAAAGTTGATTCAGAGATAGTAGAAACTGCTGATGCTGGAGAATCTGAGGTTACAAGGTGTAGAGCTGGATGAACACAGCAGGTCAAGCAGCATCAGAGGAGCAAGAAAGCTGACGTTTCGGGTCTGGACCCTTCTTCAGAAAATGAAACATCAGCTTTCTTGCTTATCTGATGCTGCTTGGCCTACTGTGCTCATCCAGCTCTACACCTTGTTATCATGGATGGTAACGTGCCAGGTTTCTGAACTCTAGCATATTCTCCTGCATGTTTTAGTCGGAGGGCAGCCTGAATTTTATGTAGGCACTGGTTGACCCATACCCCTTGTTGAGGTTGTGGGCGGGAGGGGAATGGCCGTGACATGTCCCAGATTTGCGGGGCGGAACACGTCACACCAACTGGCCACACTGGGCTGGTATGTTTTATACAGATATACACATTCTGTACACAGACTTGGGAATAAGCTACGCCCGAGGAGGCCTGTAACAAACGCAATATCGAACAGGTAACCAGAAAAGTTTGAATCGGGTTTGTTTAAAGTCGGTTGCCAGGACAGCGCCAGTAGGCCCGTGATCATGACATTAACATAGTCTCTGGCTGAAGTCGTTAGATATTGTTTACCTCTCGAGTTCGCCATCTTTCTCCATGACAACTTCTCGCGCGCCTCTAACACCGCTCTGAAGCTCGCGACTTCTTCGGTTTCTTTTCAAAGCCGCGTCTCGGTGCACGAGCACCGCCCGGTCTCGTAGCGAGCCGCCGCGAAAGCCCAGCTTTTCCCCGCCCCTCCACTGTCCGCAGCAGGATGGCCTATCTCAGCCGCCTGATCATATGTGCTCCGAAAGAAACAGCTGACTGAAACATGATCGTTGTGGATAATGACGGGAAATAACATTCACTTCCTCCAGGAAATTATTTTTCTCTCTGCATTTCTGTCTCCCCCTCCTAAATACACACCACCTTCGGCTCTCCCCATTCGTGCAGGCAACGTTAAGAGACAGAAAGGTTTCCTCAGGTCGACTTCACACTAACTTGCTGGAATTTTGGAGGGGGGCGGGCGCACATCGTCATGCGCTTTGATTGGTTTGTCTTCAACGCCTGCCTTCGCCGGTGGGCGGATCTGTGTGGCGTCTCGAATTGTAATTGGATGTCTGTCCTGTCAATGTGGCTCCCCGACTAAGCAAGTTTATTTGACTGGTAATTTTCTGTGCAAATCTTGAACACTGAAACCAAGTTCTCGACGTGAATGCTCACCAGTCGCCTTGAAACGTTCAGTTACTTGCGCGATTTCTTGGAATAGTATGGCACTGTATGGTTAGTGGGTGCGATCTGCACCACGAACGGTAAAGTAAACGTAAAGGAAAACCCATTTGATATTTATTCCGCAGTTATTGGTATCTTGACAACGAAGAATCTTGGAGGGAGTGTGTGAGAGAGAAAGGCAGGCGCCTCCTACCCCTCCCAACTCAGTCTTTTTAACATGAAATCTTCCTACTCCGTTGATTTAATTTTTTTTCCCATACCGCTTCGCTTGTACAAATCAGAGTCTGTAGGAGAGCGTTGTTGATGTGACAGTTATCTGGGAAGCTGCTGGATTGAGATGTGAAGAGAGCCGCTTCTTGCATTGGTTGCTGAGGCTGCTTTGATATTTGACTTCGTGCATTTTACACGTCTCGCCATGCTTTCAGGAGTGTTTGTTATTGCGCTCAGAAGGGATACATATATATGTGCTTGTTTATGGACAACATAAAACCTGCCACTCTGAGCACTAACAAACAGATGTTTAATTGATTCTGTCCACCACCTGCCCGATTTCCAGTATCCGCAGTAATTTGTTTTTGTAAAGGTGAATAATACGTTGATATTTAACAATGAAATTTCATTTCACCGCTGTGATATTGATGTACGTCTCGTTAATCTATTAATTTGTTCAGTCGTTCAGGTCGTCTTGTTGTCCATGCATCAAGTATAGACTCAAGTTTCTATTTAACCTTGCAAATATTTGAAGTAGAAGCGGTCAGTTGAGAAAACGTTCTTGCGTTGGAAAAATGTAAAGTTCACTTGTTTTGTGATTTACATGTATTTTAATGATATCTCAACAGCAGTCATTTTAAATTGATGGAATAGCCCAAGATAAGCAGATTTTTAATTGAAGCAGTTTTAACGATATGTTTTTTTACGTCTTTCGAACTGAACAATTTTATTATTGATTTTTAAATACTGCCATATCGGGTTATATTTTTGAATAAAAGCAAGGTCATTTTTATTGAATCAATACAATCATTTAATAATTCTGGATTGAGTTTTGTTTGTGTATTTTTAGCAAAGAAAAATATCTGATTGCCAAATCAGTTTTGAATGATTTGAATTTGTTTATTTTAATTTGAAATGTTAACACCTTTGCACACCAAGAATTTTATTTAAGGGGTACTTGTGAGGATGTTAATTTATATATACGTTTTTGTACTTAGAATTGCTTTGTTCAGCAGTAACAAAATTGATCAGTGAAACTCCATGTTAGTCTGTACTGTGATGTACATACAGCTACTAGAAATCCTTGCAATTTTCGTAAATAAGAAACAAGAAATATATATCATTGTTGGATAGGTGGGATCAGATTTGTCTGGAACAAGGAATTTTGCAGTGTCCCCCATTAGCTTGATTTGCAATTGCAAGTTTAGTTTTTTGCCGTCAAATTACTGGAAGTGCCAGCTGATAATAGTCCAGTGAGGTCAAAAAGATAGTGGTACCTTGCTGAACACTGGGACAATTTATGTACCTCTTTAATTTATGAAAGTAAATGACTGAAATAAATACTGATTTGATGTCATCTGGTTTCTGTAAGTTAGAAAATAATAGCCCAGATCTTCTGGTCTCCACTTACTTACAGACTGGGCTTTCTCCAGAAGATATGTTATTGAATTCTTTAGAAGTCCCAGTGCAAGGACGCCACCGGACTTGATGAATCTGAACTTTTGGTCAGCAATGCCTTGTTCCTGGGGCCCTCCGAAAATCTTTCCAACTCTCAGTTATAGTAGGAGACTTTGCATCATATACACCTATTTCCTGAACAGTTACCCAGGAAATGTTGGAACAGGAGAAAATCTGGTCTAACTCCTGGGTAACTATCCAACTGTCTCTCCAACCTCACCTCCCAGCCACTTACACTGATTTCCCCCCAGTTACCCCTGCAACTGTACAAGCTTTCCTCCTGACACTCCAACTACCCTGCCTAATCCTCCAAATCACCCTGACTCATGCCCAGCTGACCCAATCTATTTGTTGCCAACCTGACTACCTTCATACCATCTTGCCCACTGTTCCAAGCTATCCACTGCACTCATGTGCTACCCTAACCATCCCTACAATTCTATTCCCTCAACCATTTATCTCACCTACCATACATCCACACTAAACCTATCCCCTTAACCACTTGACTGACCACCCTTACTCTACACTTTTACCCCACCCACACTCACCCTCTTTCACACTTACCTTTCTTTCTGTGCTCTTCAGAGAAAGGTTGGAAAAGTTAGCCGATCAGAACACAGCAACTATGCATGTCTTATCTTGACAATCCAGTGCTACATTAAAGCAGTTCCATTTCAGATACATTCCAAATTTCTGTAGAATCTTGAAACAGAAGCAGGGCCAGAAATGTGGAGCTCTGGCAAGTTGGAGAAAATTATGAGTGGAGTGACAATATAACAGCAATTGCCAATCCTCAAAAGACTCAGGCCAATTACACTTTAGATTCAAGAATGCTTGAACTTTATTGCATTTTTTCTTCTTTCAGCTCTCCATGTGGTTGTAGACTGACAGACTGATACATTGTTACTCAGCACATGACTGTAATATGACAGTGAATGCAGTGCCCTTAGATATATATTCATATAACAAGTTCTTTATGAATAATCAAAATGCATATCCTCCCTCTTCCTCGAAAGTCTCTAAACAACTATAACAATCCCAACAATTAACACTTTTTCTATTAACTACAGTAGTTTGATAATTAACTTTTATAAATAAATTGAACATACAAGAATATTTTATTGCTTAGTTTATGCTCTCAGAAAAGAATTATTTGTGACTTTATTATGGCTTTGGTGATGGAATGCTGTGTGTCCATCTTGTGGTTTCGCATTCATTGCTTTCAGTAATGAATGGCCATGCATTATTGTTTTTGTTACACCTGTTGTGTAGCAATTGTGCTCGAGTTACTGATGTTGTGTCAGTTGCTGGTGACATTGTTGATGAAGTACGACTTGTTGGTGATGCAATTGATGCTTTCGTGCTGGTTCATGATGTTGCTGGCGTTGTTGATGAAGTTTTCTGCATTTCCAGCTCAGGATTCTGGAGTTTCATGTTGGGATTCTATATATGTACAGTTTTCCCTTGCAATTACTTAGGCATGGATGTAACATTTTTGTTGAAATAATGGCCTCCTCCTACCTGTGATTAAGTGAGTTGACCAAGTGACCAGGAAGAAGTCCTGTACTTTCTTTCATTCAATTACTCCAGAAGTAATTTTATGAAAACCTCGCGAGTTATAGATCAGTGTGATAATAAGGTAACGTTGGTGTCTTCCTTTGTTTCTTGAGGGTTCCAGTAACCATCTGGACATGCTTATTGGTAAACTTTTGTCCTCTTTGGAAATGTGGTACTGATGTTGAAGTTTGTGTAATACTGTTGGTAGTTTTTAAATGTCCTGTTTGTCACATCCTCGATAATAGACTCCCATTATTTTTCCAACAACTAATGTTAGGCTAACAGGCCTGTAATTCCAGTTTTCTGCCTTCCTCCTTTTCAAAATATTGGGGTTACATTTGCCATCCTCCAATTATCTGGGACTGTATCAGAATCTATAAATTTTTAGCAGATAACAACCAACAAATCTGCTATTTCAATGGCCAACTCCTTTAGTACCCTGGGATGTAGATTATCAGGCCCTGAGGAGTTTTCAACTAGCAGTCCCATTAATTCTTCTTGAAGTTTTTTCCTTCATACTCATTTTCATCAATTCTTCTTTCCCTGGCACTTCTGGGAAGTTTTTTTTTGTTGTCTTGTATGAAGACAGAACACAAGTTGTGGCTTAATTGCTCTATCATTTCTTCTACTCCATGATCAAATCTCCCATTTCAGATTGTGAGTTGCCTACATTTTGTCTTCACTAATCTTTTTCATTTTCCACACTTACAGAAGCTTTTACAATCCACTTTTATGTTCCTTACTCTCATGCTCTATTTATCCCCTCTTAATCAAACTTTTAGTCCTCCTTTGATGAATTCTAAACTGGTCCCAGTCCTTGGGCTTGCTACTTTTTATCAGGAACTTCATATGACTCCATTTGGATATAATACTACCCTTAATTTCATTTGTTAAGCGTGGTTGGGCCACTTTGCCTGTTGCATTCTTTTGCCCAGAAGGAATGTATAACTGGTACAATGCATGCATTCATTCCTTAAATATTAGCCACAGCCTGTCCACTGCCATGCCTTTTAATTCAGTTACCCAGTCTATCACAGCCAATTTGCTCTGCATATCTTTGTAGCTGAGAACTATAATTTTGGATTGGATTACTTCACTTGCTATTTCCACTGAAGAATTCTATCACGTTATGTCACATTTTCTCCTAACCTCTCACAATAAGATTATTAATTAACTCCTTCCCATTACACAAAATTAAATTTCAGATAGCCTGCTCCTAAGTTGCTTCCTGAACAGTCTGGTCTAAAAATTCATCTTGTAAACAATCAAGGAATTCATTTGCCACATTTCTATTGGAAATGTGATTTGTCTATATGTAGATTAAAATTACCCATGATTACACAAACACTCTTGTTGCATGCATGTCTAATTTTCTATTTAATATCATCCCCTACTTCATCAGTACTATTTGGAAGACTAGACAATTCCCAATAATGTTTTCTGTCCCTTGTTCCTTTGTAGCTCCATCCAGACTGATTTCACATCTAGGTTTCCTGAGCCAATATCCTTTCATTGATTTCATCTCACTAATAATGATCAATACTGTTTGGAAGACTCTAGACAATTCCC